CTTTTTCTTTTTATTTCTATTTTGTTTGCTAACTTTTCTTTCCTTTTTGGTTCATGTAGGCTTGCCAGATTGTGGAATCAGGAACTTTGGTGCTTCATTTTTGGTAATATTATAATGTTTTTTGTTCTCTTTTGTTGTTATTCGTTAAAATCTTTATTCTTCTCTTTTAAGGTTCTTATAGGCTTGCCGGAATATGAAATCAAGGGCTTTGGGGCTTTGTTCTCAGGTAAGATTATACTTTGCTTGTTTTTTTTCTTGTTTTTCTTTTGTCGCTACTCACTAAACTTTTTGTTATTTTCTCTTTAGATCCTTGTAGGCTTGCTGGAATGTAAAATTAGGAATTTCTTTCTCAGGTAGAATGGTGTTTTTCTTTTTTTTTCTTTTTTATTTCTCTTTGTTGTCATTTGCTAACTTCTTCTCTTTTTTAGGCTTGTGTAGGCTTGCTGAAACGTTAAATCAGGATTTTGGGGCTTCATTCTCAGGTAAGATTATGTTTTTTTTTCATTTTTTGTTTTTTTTGTTATTTCTCTTTTGTTTTCATTTGCCAACTTCTTTGCACTTTTCTCTTTAGACTTGTGAAATGTTGATTCAGAACTTTGGGCTTCATTCTCAGGTAAGATTATGTGCTCTTTTTTTTTTTGTTTTCTTTTATTTTTATTCTCTAATTTCTTTGCCCTTCTTCACTTCTTTAGCTTCGTGTAGGCCTTTCGGAATGTTAAATCAGGATTTGGAGCTTCATTCTTGGTAAAATTATGTTTTTTCTTTATTTTCTTTTTATTGGTTTTTCTTTTGTTATTCGCTAATTTCTTCGCTTTTTTACTTTTCTTTAGCTTCACGTAGACCTGTTGGAATGTCAGAATATTGAATTAGGATTATGGAGCTTTGTTCTCAGGTAAAATTATTATTATTTTTTTTTTGTATTGCTTCTCTTTTGTTGTCACTTGCTATTTTTATTTCCTTTTTTCTCTTCCTTAGGTTCGTGTAGTGCTTGCTGGAATGTTGAATCAGGACTTTGGAGCTTCGTTCTCAGGTAAGATTATGTTCTTTCTTTTTTTT